TTGTTTTCTTTTTCAGGAAATGAGAACTCTGATTAAAGACAAAGATCTAAAAGAATTATGCAAGGTTTATGTTTAACCTGTTGGCTTTAGACTTAGCGCCAAGAATTAAAATCTGGAATCAGACTCCAAGAATTGAAATTTGGAATCAGACTCCAAGAATTGAGAATCTGGAAGCTGTCTTAGTGACATTAAATTTTCAAGATTTCAATTGAATTCATTTTCATTGGCATCTAGAGTCAAGACTCTCAAGATCCCAATATCTGATCTATTGGAATCAGGGGAGTTTTTTACTCAAATGGTTCAGAGTCAGGATATTTGAGCTTCATCAAGTCATTGACTCAGGGGGAGTTTCATAAAAAGGATAAGTATTCCTTACTCCTTTTACTTTCACTTTTTCTGATTATATGAACAAAATTGTATCATCAAAATACATAGTTTTGTCATCATCAAAAAGGGGGAGATTATTAGAATAAGATTTAGTTATGCAATATTATCTCAAAGTTTTGATGATAACAAATAAGTATTTTTGTATGAACAATTTTGATACTCTAATGTTTGTTATTTTTGAATATCTAACAAACAGGTTATGCTTCTAATGGATGGTGTGACCAAGACATTAAAAGATAATTAATTCTGCTTCTGCGTTGCACAAGTTATGATGAACAACAGCAAGACACTCCAGAAGACTCTGAAGTGTAGGCTCTGATATGAAGTCTAAAAAAACCAGTCAGAAAATCTGAAGACAGAAGTTTCTACTTAAGTCTGGATGCTAAAGACTCATGTTTCTGAAGACAACGTATTATAAAGAAACAAGTCATAAGATCTGAAGACAGAAGTTTATACTTAAGTCCAGATGCTGAAGACTAATGTTTCTGAAGACAAAGGGTTCTCAAGACCAAGTGCTGAAGATTCTGATAGACAAAGTTCTAAAGACTCTGAAGACTAGAAGTTCTAAAGACCCATGATTCTAAGAAATGGGTTCTAAAGACCAAGTGCTAAAGAATCTGAAGATAGAAGTTATAAAATACTCTAAAGACTTGAAGTTCTAAAGACCCAAGGTTCTAAGAAAAGGTTCTCATGACCAAGTGTTGAAGACTATGAAGACGCAATTCTGAAGACTCTGAAGACTTGATGTTCTGATGACCTTGTGTTATGTTATCGCTTCTAAAATCATACTCGTAGAAGCCCCTGATGTGCAGAAGGAAAGAAGATAATGTTAACATGGTACAAATAGTACATGGTACAATCAACGTTTCATCCACTACCATGAAAGAATAGACGCGTTGCACGATGTTGTCTCCCACGTGATTGCTCAAGCTGCCAATATTTCTGGAAATCCCAAGAGCACCCCTCAATAGATATACTATTGGCTATATAAAGGCTTAAAGACTAAGAGAGAAAGCGGAGAATTTTTACTAAATATCCACGCACAAGCGTTGTTTATAGCTTTCATATTTTTAGTCTATTATTCTTAAAATAGTTTACATATTCAGCTTGTGAAGAAGAAATTTTATTGTAAACAAAAATTGTATTTAAATAGTTGTTTGATTTCCTTAAGGGACCGGTTAGGTCTGAATCCTTAAGAAGTTTAGGACTAGTGTGTCTTAGAAGTTTGATTTTCCTTAAAGGAATGATTAGGTCTGTATTCTTAATAAGTCCAGGACTTGTGTATCTTAGAGGTTGTTAGTCACTTTCATGTAACTTGTGCATTGTAATAATCAGTTGGATTAGATTAATTCCTCGATAGAGAGAGGAGATATCACCTTGGCGGGTGGATTAGACTAGCTTGATACTTTTCAAGTGAACTAGTATAAACATACCTTGTTCTTTACTTCCTGTTCTTAATTATTGTTATTATCAAGAGTCAAGGGAAAAGTATTTTAATTAAAGGGGAATATTTTTAAAAGAAATTTTTTTGATTTACCCCATTTTTTGTGTTTTTCACACCTTCATTAGGATAGTTTTTGAATAAATTGCATGTACCATTGTTGAAATTCTCAAAATTGACCCGTTAATTTTTTTTAGAAAAAGCTTTTGGTTTTTAATATTATTTGATAAAGTACATAGGATTGAAGTGATGATTTTCTAAGTTTAGGGGCCCGTGGAAAATCGATAAAATAGGTATTACCCGAACATCCTTAGTTTCTCTTGTAGGTTGAGATTTTAAAGTGTATTTAGTACCATAGTTCTTGGATCTTAAGAAGTATTTCCTAAATAGTTGATTTCGACAGTCTGACATAATTTAGATTTATATAACATGCTTGATCGATTTAGGAAAAATAAACACCCAAAAATTGAAAAGAAAAAAATTGAACTCATTAAGTTGGATAACCCTCACCAGGTTATTCAACCCAACATGGTTGAACCCCAACTTCGAACACAAAAGAGAATAAACATGTTTGCTTATGTTATGTAGATAACCCTCAAACGGTCTTATGTGTGTGTGATGAGTATTATAACTTCAAATGCCTTAATTTTATTGTCCAGATGAATGGGAAAGAAAATCGAAAATAGACTTAAGTTATGGCATCTCATTCTTGTTATAGGCGACTGAACAACTATATTTTTTATTGCATCACCCATAATAACTTTTTCAAACAAGTTTACTGGATTTGTATTTGGTTGGACGATTAAACACATCGTTGTCAATACCTGCATCATAAAATAAACAACACACAACACACAATGTTAATACCACAAACAACAATAATACACAACATATAATTTTAAGCAGACAAATAACAAAACAAAACTTCTACATACCGCAACTGCACCATGTTTTATACTCTTTTGTTCCCTTGATAATTTTTCTTTAAACTTATTATCAAAGAACTTTTGAACATGCTTCTTGTATAATTCTTCACTCCTTGACGATGATCCAAAGTATTGTCTCAGGTCAATGCCCTGTCCAACACCATAGACACATCCACGATACTCCTTTGTTCCAATTGCTTCTGCTAATATATCATGGCGTGCTTGTGGAACAAAGGAACCAAATTCGTCACCAAGTCTTGATAGTTGGTGACAAAGAGTTGAGGGAGGCCCATAAATCATCTCAGAGATGCGTCTCTAAGTATGTTTAAAAAGAGCTTTCACCTCAGAGATGCATCTCTATTATGAGACTTTCCTCGCTGTCAGATTCCTCGTTGGTTGAACTGGTTGTCTTTTTGTTCACCATGATGGTCAGAGAGGATGATCGTGAGGGTAATAATTCGGTTGAATGTTGTGATGGTGGCCTAAGTTAGTTTTATAAAGACCCAATGGTGGGTGCCAATTGTACTTGCTAAAAGTACAAATGTGTGATAACTCTTAATGATTAAGGGTTGTCAAAGACTTTAAGGCTGATATGAGGTTGAGAGCTAGCTCACATAGGATGAAAAGCCTTGTCTATGTGTATATCTCTTTGTTACGAAAATAGAGTATTTATAACCACACTGGGCCTGAATCCAAGACCTCTTTGAAAATAGTAAACCACTAAGCGAATGAATATTTTATCTCCTGATATTCAAGGGAGCCAGACACACTTTCTTCATAACTTGTTATGTGTCGTTACGGGATGGGACACATCTCTTCTCAACTTCCACGTCGAACGACTCATCCTTAAAAAATATAAAATATCTAATAAAAGAGTGACGCATCTAATAAATAAGTGATTGAACTAATAAATGAATGAATGAAAACTCTCACATTCGCTTCTCATAAACTTCAATAAAAAAAATTATGTACTTCATCTATTTTAAATATTTAGTAGTTTTGACATATGTATTTTTGTTTTAAACCAATTGATATTTTAAAAATCTAAGATATATAATATATATTATTTTGCATTTATGATTTTACATTAGAAAGTAAATATTATTCTAATTTTCTTATAAATATCATCAATTAAAAATTTCTTAATTTATGCTAAAAACCTTAAATTATAAAAAACAGTCTGATTTTCTTTTTTCAACATTAAAAATGAGATAAATCGATTCCCAAAATCTCATTAATAAAAAAACTAGATTTTTACATAGCAAGATTTTGACTCAATCTCTTCCATAAGAGACAAATCTTCACCAAGAAGACAAACATTTTGTTTCAATATAATAATTCCACATATCATTTTAAACATCATAATCATGTCTAATACCACTCCTATAGTCATATTCATATTGCCTCTACAAGACTAGAAAACAAGAAATCCTCAAACTTGTATAAAAAATATATAAATAATAAACAAATAAAAAAGCTTCTATTGTGCTAGAAACACACATGGCACATAAACACAAACACACTCTTTCTCTGTCTTTGATGTTAGAAGCTTTAAATGCTTCACTTTACTCTCTCTGACACTAACCATAAGGCATAAAAGAAGCATTGAATCATTACATTTATTCAAACACAATTATTTTATGTTCCTTTCTCTCTCTTCTTTCTCTTTCTTTCTCTCTCACACTCACACACTATTAATGGCTTCTCAACTCCCAATGCTTCCACCCACCAATGTTTTTTCTTTTTAATCTCTTCACTCTTGAGTCCCTTTCGCCGCTTTCCATGGAAATCAAAATCTAGATTAAAAAAAATCATTTTTTTAGCTCAAAAAGAGTTTTAAAATAATAAAAATCTAATTTTTACCATTTCTTTTGATTTGATTCTTAGTATAAAAAGTCCATTGTTCTACTAACTTATTAGTGTGAACATGTTTTCATTCATCTTTGAATAGAAGGGCCTTTGAAAATTCTCAACGGTGAAAAAGCTGAAAAAAGTGATTTTCTTCACCTCACTTTACTTTGTTTTTTTCCCTTCATGCTTCATTCTCACATGGTTTTTGTCTAATCCTTTCTCTTTTGTTTCTTTCTTCTCTTCTCTTTTTGTTTATATCCATTGAGTTTTGGATTCTTGCATCTTCAGAAGAAGCTTCTCCTCTTACCCTCTTACCAGTTCATGAAGAAAGATCATTCCTTTTGAAGTTTAAACAAATCCTTAGTTCATCATTCATCATAGACACGTTTCATTCTATGATGAATTTGTTGTTTTTTTTCACACTTTTGACTACTTCAGTTATAGTAATTCCAGTGTTTTCTGTTGATGATCCTGTTTTCAATGATGATATACTTGGTTTAATAGTGTTTAAAGCTGGTTTACAAGACCCTAATCACAAACTATCTTCATGGAATGATGATGATTTCACACCATGCAATTGGGAAGGTGTGAAATGTGATGCTTCCAACAATAGAGTCACTTCTCTTGTTCTTGATGGTTTCTCTCTTTCAGGACACATTGATAGAGGCTTATTGAGGTTACAGTTTCTTCAAACTTTATCACTTTCTGGTAACAATTTCACAGGTTTCATAAACCCTGATCTTCCAAAGCTTGGAGGTTTAGAAGCTGTTGATTTCAGTGATAACAATCTTCAAGGGTCAATTCCTGAGGAGTTTTTTCAGCAATGTGGATCTTTGAAAAATGTTAACTTTGCTAAGAATAATCTCTCAGGTAATGTTCCTGATTCTCTTAGTACTTGTGCATCTTTGACAAATGTTAACTTTTCTTGTAATCAAATTCATGGAAAGTTGCCATCTGAGGTTTGGTTTTTGAGAGGCTTAAAGTCTTTTGATGTTTCAAATAACTTGCTTGAGGGAGAGATTGTTCCTGAGGGGATTCAAAATCTGTATGATTTGAGAGAATTGAGTTTGAGGAAAAACCGATTTACCGGTCGAATTCCAGAGGAGATTGGTGCCTGTGTACTTTTGAGATCACTTGACTTGAGTGGTAATTTTCTTTCTGGTGGAATTCCTCAATCAATGCAAAGACTCAGTTCTTGTAATTCTCTTAGTTTGCAAGGAAATTCATTCACTGGTAACGTTCCTGATTGGATTGGTGAGATGAAAAGTCTCGAAAATTTGGATCTTTCTTCGAATAGATTTTCGGGTTTGATTCCCAAGTCATTAGGGAAACTAGAAATGCTGCAAAGGTTGAATTTTTCTAGGAATCAGTTAACAGGAAACTTGCCCGATTCGATGATAAAGTGTACTAGTCTTTCGGCTTTCGATATCAGTCATAATAATTTGGATGGTTATCTTCCTTCGTGGATTTTTACGGAGGGTAATTATCACGGTCTCGAGGTTTTGGATTTGTCTTCCAATGGATTTTCTGGTGGAATTCCGTCTGGTATCAGCGGTCTTCGTAGCCTGAAAGTATTGAATATGTCTTCGAATAATTTCTACGGTTCTGTTCCGGTCGGTATTGGTGAACTCAAATCTTTATACATTGTTGATTTGAGTGGTAACAAACTTAATGGAAGCATTCCTTTTGAAATCGAAGGCGCGGTTTTACTTAATGAATTGAGGTTACAGAAGAATTTACTTCATGGGAGAATTCCAGATCAAATCGCCAAGTGTTCGGCTTTAACATCTTTGTAAGTTCTATAATTTCGTAGCGTAGTTGTCTTTTATTTTCATGCTTTGTCATCTGATTGTTATTTCCTTACAATTTAAGGTTCTGTTTGGATAAACAATTTAGTTAAGTGCTTATGTATAAGGTATTTTTATTACAAAAGATGAAATAAAGACGATTTCGTTTGAATTTTGTAGGGTTCTTTCTCACAACAAACTTTCTGGTTCAATTCCTAAGGGCATTGCAAACTTAACCAATCTTCGGGATGTGGATTTGTCATGGAATAAACTCTCTGGAAGTTTACCGAAGGAGTTAACAAATCTTTCGAATCTTTTATCGTTTAATGTATCCTACAACCACCTTCAAGGCGAGTTACCTGTCGGCGGTTTCTTCAACACCATCTCATCCTCGTCTGTAACCGGTAACTCATTGTTGTGCGGTTCTGTTGTTAACCACTCCTGTCCTTCGGTTCATCCCAAACCGATTGTCTTGAATCCGAACTCTTCTGCTTCCAACTCCAGCATTTCCTCAAAATATCATCGACACAAGATCATACTCAGTATATCTGCTCTTATTGCTATCGGCGCAGCTGCTTTTATTGCCGTTGGTGTCGTCGCCATCACGTTCCTAAACATGCGCGCGCGTTCTTCAATGGCACGTTCTGCTGCTCCATTTGCGTTCTCCGGTGGCGATGACTATAGCAACTCGCCGGGAAATGATCCAAACTACGGCAAGCTTGTGATGTTTTCCGGTGATGCAGACTTTGCTGATGGAGCTCACAATCTCCTTAATAAAGAGAGTGAAATAGGCCGTGGTGGATTCGGAGTTGTTTACCGGACTTTTCTACGAGACGGGCACGCTGTTGCGATAAAAAAGCTTACAGTCACGAGTTTGATCAAGTCCCAAGAAGAATTCGAGAAGGAAGTGAAAAGGTTCGGGAAGATTCGGCACGATAATCTTCTAGCACTCGAAGGCTATTACTGGACTTCGTCGTTGCAGCTCCTCATTTACAAGTACCAATCAAGCGGTAGTTTGCATAAGCTTCTACACGGCAATAAAGACGATAAAAGCAGAAACGTCTTATCATGGCGACAAAGGTTCAAGATTATTCTCGGCATGGCAAAAGGGCTAGCACATTTACACGAATCGAACGTAATCCACTATAATCTCAAATCAGCCAACGTTCTCTTCGACGTTTCAGACGAACCAAAGATAGGAGACTTCGGCTTGGTGAAGCTCTTACCAATGCTAGACCATTGCGTATTAAGCAGCAAAATCCAAAGTGCGCTCGGATACATGGCACCCGAGTTTGCTTGCCGCACAGTCAAGATAACCGAGAAATGTGACGTCTACGGTTTCGGAATCCTTATATTGGAGATAGTGACAGGTAAAAAGCCTGTGGAGTACATGGAAGATGATGTTGTGGTGCTATGTGACATGGTGAGGGGTGCATTGGAAGAAGGAAAAGTTGAAGAATGTGTTGATGAAAAGCTTTTAGGTAACTTTGCAGCTGAAGAAGCTATTCCTGTGATAAAACTGGGATTGATTTGTGCATCACAGGTTCCATCAAATAGGCCTGATATGAGTGAGGTTATCAACATATTGGAGTTGATTCAGTGCCCTTCAGAAGGACAAGAGGAGTTATTAGAATGAGTTTTGAGAGAAAACAAACAAACAGCACTTAGTGGAAGTATTGGTGAAGTAGAATCCAGTTTGAAAAAAAAGTCATTATACATTTAATTAAGTCAATTTTCATTTTCAACTTATTGTTACTTTTTAAGTCGTTGAATTTTTTTTTCTTTATCTCATGTTGTATTACTGGATTTTTCTTCACCAGTTAGAGTGTGCTGGTATAATAATATTATATCTTAATCATACTTAGCATTTTTTGAATTTTATTATAGTTTTATTTTTTTTTAATGAGAAACAATGAAAAACTTCTTTTACTCTTTCCATTTTATATATAGAATGAAACTTGAAAAAGAAAGGAATACAACTAAGGCATTGATAAAAATATGTATGTAGAATAATGCAGCACAGAAAAAGGTAAAGTGAAAAAAGCACTTATTTTGCTTTATTTACAATTTTAAACTCAAGACTGGTATTTTTGTCCTGGCTTTTGGAAAGATCAAAAGCAATTTTAGAGGTGTAAAATTGTTTCTGAGTTATTTTAAGATGTTTGGTTGATTCTGCCTCTAGAATTGATTCTACTTGAAGTTAGAATTTGTAGTTTCTGCCTCCAGAGTTGATTATGGGTAATTTTTACATTGAAATTTATTGTTTAACTCACTTTTACATAAATGTATCTAAACATAAATCAATTATACTAAATTCAATTCTACTAGAATCAATTTTGTCTACCGACAATCCAAACACACCCTAAAATGTTTTTCACCAAAGGTGTGAACAAAAATATATTTTTTTGTGTGTAAACAAGATAATTTAGAAAAGAGAATTAAGGGTTCTCAACTTGATTACACAAAGACACATGACAAAATGCCCGACAAAAAAAATTTCCGACCAATTGAATTTACGACAAAAATAACAAAGGTTGTTTGCTAAACTTGTAAAATTGGGATGAATAATTTCACCAACAAAAGACCACCTTCAAACCATAATCTTAATTCCCCAAATGATATCCAAAACGTTCCAGTTATCACTTCGGAAAATTATGTCGTTTCTAACTAACCACAAATTCCAAATAATAGCCAACCAAAAACATTCTTCCTTTCCTTTTTTCACCTTTTACTCTTACAAAAGATATACCACCAAACAAAACTCTCTTTGATGTTATCCTCCCAAACATACTTCAAACCGATCCACTCCGCAATTTCCTTCCAGATCACCTTTGCAATGGGGCATTTCACGGAGGAATGAACCAAATTTTCCTCTTCAAACTCGCAAAAAACACAAGCTTGAGAACTTAAAGGTAAAGTCAATCCTCTAATCTTCAATTGACACATGGAAGGAAACCTATTTATTAAGAATCTTCAACCAAAAGCCTTGATCTTGAACGACATTGACACCTCCCATAACAAGGATAAAGCATTGTCAAACTTTTTCGCCGGACCAAAAGGAAGATGGAAAGAATCGAGAAAATAGTAACAAGAACTAACCGAAAAGGAGTCGTCGTTGCCATTCGCCCACAAGACCTGGTCCTAGCCCTTTGCATTGCAATAGAAACTAGTGAGGCTGCTCCGAAGCTTCTGCAAATCCAACGCGATCTGGGGCTGCAACGAAACCGCTCTCGGCACACCGAAAATCCTCCCAAGTCCAAATGTCCCTTTCCCAACATCCCATACACGCTACGGACACTGATTGAAGCATAGAAACGGAAAAAAAACAAAGGAAAGCAATCCTTCAACATCCTCTCATGAAACCATCTAACTTTCCAAAAGGAAGTTGTATACCCTCTACCAATACCAAAAGAACAAGCATTCTCTCGACAATTTCTACTGATACCAATAAGATCCTTCCACCAAGAAGAGGTGGAGCTAAAGTTCATTTGAACATCTCCATTGAGCACTTACAAATTAATATCTCCATACCGACCTTGTAACAAATTATACCAAAGAGAATCCGAACCTTTCAAAATCCTTCATCTCCGTTTATTAAGAAGGGCATATTAAAAACATTAATTATTTTAATTCCAATCCCTCATTTATCGATGGGTAAGAAAATGTCCTTCCATCCAACCTAATGAGTTTTTCTCTTATCCTTTGTTCCTCCCCATAAAAATTATCTTGAAGCTTCGTAATTTCTTTCGCAATTTTTACCGGCATTTTATAGAAGGACATGGTAAATAGAAAGAGAACACAAAACTGATTTGAGAAGGGAAATCCTCCCACCAAGATTTAAAAACTGATTTTTCCACCCCGAAAGCCGCCTCTTCAATTTGTCAGGAAGCGGTTTCCAGGTGGAGATTCTTCTAGGATTGTAGCCAATAGGAATTTTAAGAAAAGTAAACTCCTTACCTTCCACTCTACAAGAGAGAAAAGACGCCGCAACCTCCATGAAATTGTTGCTAATGTTAATCCCAATCAATTTGCTTTTGTGAAAATTTATGCCAAACCCCAAAACAAACTCAAAAGTCCTCAACACTGCCTTAATAGCCCTTACATGCTTCCAACTATCTTCCCCTGTCAATAAAATATCATCCGCAAATTGAAAAATGTCCACCTTGCACTTATCTCTAATGTTGAACCCTTCGAAATCACCAATATCAATTGTTTTCCTCACTAACCCCGATAACCCTTCGGCCACAACCACAAAGAGAAAAGAAGATAACGGATCTTTTTGTCTCAATAATTTTTCGACCTAAAACTCCTTAGTCGGGCTTCCATTGACCAACACCGACATCTTACTTTGAAAAATCAACAATTTCATCCACTTCATCCAAACATCACCAAAACCCATTTTCTTAAACATAAACCTAAGAAAATTCCAATTCACTTTGTCATAAGCTTTCTCAAAATCAACCTTAAATAGTAAGCATCTTATACCTTCCTTATTCGCATAATCTACCAATTCATTCGCCACCAAGACTCCATCAAGAAGTTTCATACCCGAGAGAAAAATACTTTGGCAAGGCGAAATAAAAGAGTGTAAAACCCTTTCCAACCTACCCGCCAACAATTTAGAAACCACTTTATACAAACACCCAACTAGGCAAATAAGTCTATAATCATCTAAACCAACCAGGTTAGGGGACTTTGGAACCAATTCCAAAAAAGAGGAAAATATAGCTTTTGAAATAATACCTCCTGAGTAGAAATATTGAAAAAAATCGAACAAAATTTTCTTTAAGAAAGAACCAACACTTATTTATGAAAATAAAAGAAAAGTCGTCGAGACCCAGACTTTTTGAGCCCCCACAACTCCAAATCGCCTCCTTGATCTCATTCTCTCCCAAAGGAGCTTCTAGCAAACCTCTATCCGCCTCCGAAAACATGTTGAACAGAATGCCTTCCAAACTAGGCCTAATGGAATTTGAATCAGTGAATTTATTCGAAAAGTGCGACCAAACCTCACCATTCACCTCTTCAACTGAATCAAGTAACTCTCCTGGAGATAAAAGAGGACCAATGTGATTGTGCCTTATTTTCTATATCATTACCTTATGAAAGAAACCGTTATTCAAATCACCTTTGTTGAGCCCCTTTAATCTACCTTTTTGAATAAGCATGTTTTCCTTGATTCTCAAGTTCAACCAAAATCGACTAGTAGCCTCTTTCCTCTACCCAACTATCTCGGCTCTCTCTCTAACCATATCATATTCTAACATAACATCTCGAGAATTATACCTCCTTGACCTCATCCTCTACGTCCAAGTCTAGGCGGGAGAACACCTCCTCATTCCACCACTTTAATTTCACTTTTAACAACCATAATTTCTCTTTTAAAACTAAATCGCCCCTACCTTCCACCTTAATCTCTTTCCACTCTTTTTCGAAAAAATAAATATACGAATTAAAAGAGAATCACTCATTGTTAACCTTAAAGGGTTTAGGCCCCCAATTAAGGCAATCATTTGTCAAACAAATGGGACAATGGCCTGATAAGTCGCGGGGTCCAATATATTGACCCACCACTCCCCATCTGTTAATGATAACATCAGAGACAAGAAAACGATCAATTTTACTCACCGTCGTTCTGTCCCCACTATACCAACTAAATCTCTTCCCTTTGCAATGAATGTCCACGAGGTTTCTATCTTCAATGAATTTAGCAAAAGCCTTTGACTCGTCACTCCTATCACCTTCGGATCTCCCTTTCCTTTCTAAATGATTCTTAGTAGCGTTGAAATCCCCACAAATTATCCATTCACCTTCCCCATTCTTCGATTTAACCTCCAAAAGAGATTTCCAAAGCCTTTTTTATTATCAAGGTCGCAAGGAGAATAAACATTAACTACATAATAAATATGATCCTTCCAAACCACCCTCACACCTAAAAAACCATCTCCTCTAAAACTACTAAGAACATTCACCGAATTCACTTTCCAAATAATAATCATACCCCCCGAAGCACCATTAGAATTGGAAAAAGAATAACCAATCTCTCCATTGCCCCCAAAACTAAGAGCCACAAACTCCTGTAAATTGTTTAATTTCGATTCTTGTATCACAAAAATCTGCATTACCGTTTTTTATCAAAGAACTAATCATTCTTCTCTTCAACAAACTTCCTCCCCCTTTAATGTTCAAGGAGCCAATAATCATTTCCCCTTGTTAGAATTCTCCTTCTGTTCTTGTCTCCTTTCTCTATCCATAGCTTACATTGCCCAATCTTTCTCAAATAATCTTTGTTACCGTCGACCACGAAACCCCAGAGCTTCGATAGCTGCCCACATTTTAACCCCTACATTATTGTCTAAAAAATTCCCGCTGCATGCCGTTACTCATTCGAATGTCCAAATCCTCCGGATGGTCACCGTAAAAATAAGAGATTTTGTCACTACTGTTGAGATGAAACCCATAATTATGAGACAAAGTTGTATTATTAGTTTTCAAGAACTCAGTACCCATACTGCCTTTAGAAAAAGCCAAAGCCAACTCATTCTTTTTACTTTTCTTATTATATTTCGAATTGGGCCTAGGAGGCCTGTTTTTTAGCAATCCACCAAATTCTATAACATGTTTGAGCTTTATTTT